TATGTAGAATTTAAGAAACAAAACAAATGAACAAAGAAAAAAGGAGACAAACAGAAAAATGGACCCTTAACTATAGAGAACAAACTGGTGGTTGCCAGAGGGGAGGGGGGTGGGGGGGATGGGTGAATTAGGTGATGGGGATTAAAGAGTACACTTATCATGATGAGCACTGAGAAATGTCTACAATCATTGAATCACTATATTGTACACCTGAAACTAATATAACACTGTATGCTAACTATATTGGAATTAAAATAAAAAACTTCATAAAAAAGAGTTGATGTGAAGATTGTAAGAGATATAATTGGATTACGGGATTATAATTGTTTAACACAATGTTTGGTAAATAATAAAGTGCTTTATATGTACTTATTGTTATTTTTAATCATTCAGTGCCAAATTATCTTTAAGTTATAATGCAGCTAAGAAAATTCTGCTCTATGGTAATTTGACTGAGTATTGGCTAGTATTTTACTGAGTTAAATAATTAGTATATTATAGGGTAGAAAAAGTTTATAATATTTAGTGACCTAGAACACTCAGTTTTTGTTGTTATATGCCTGTTTAGGGAGATAATGGGCTATGTGACCCATGCTTTGCTGATATTACTCAGAACTTTTTCTCTTTCAAGTTAATTTAATTTACATTTGTTTTGTTGGGTTGTTATAATAATTATAGAAGTAATTTTCATCCACAAAATTAAAGAGATTACATTCTGGTTGCTTCCTAGACAGCTTTATATTTTTATATAGTCAATGAATAGCAAATAGCAGGTATGATATACCTTAACACATTTTTTAAGGCTGAGAGGACTAAAATTTTTTAAAAAATAAATCCTTCTTTCCCACTCAAATCAGACAATTCCAAATGAGAAGTAAGATGCAGTAGTTAGACTTCATAGATTGGTGATCTCATGTCATGAACATTGGTTCAACATGCTTGTGGAAGTTGTCCAACTGTAAATTTCTACAGATGTTCGTGCTTTCTGAAACATAATTATAGGGTCCCGTCTTTCTTAAACGTACTTAAGAGCATAAGACTGATGTAGAAGTAAGTTCTCCAACTGACAATTTATGGTATCTTTGTCATTACATGAAAATGGTAGACTATATGAGTAGCTAAAGATAAAAGATGTCTCATATTCACAAGTACAAAAACATAATTACCAAAGTTATGTAGTGCAGTTATGTTGATTCCACTGTTCAAAATTATGAGTTTGTTAGCCTAAATATTTCATTATGACTTTATTACAAGTGTCAATATATGTGTTGATTGAATTTGACTCTCTAAAATAAAATGTAATATTTGTGAACACATAATAAATAGTCCATTTAATTTGGTCATTTATGACCTCAATTAAGGTAGAAGCACTTAAAGGAAATAAATAGTTTTTCTGGTGAAGAAAAGCTAAGCAGTATAACTGCCGAATTTTCTATTTTTCCTCCATGTGTTATAGTTCCTATAATATCTCAGATATAGTTCTTTGTGAATTCTATTTTAAAATAAGTTTACAAAACTTAAATTTGTTACACCAGTTTTTATAAAATTGGGCCCAACTTTGTAACATAATATAGTTTTTGTACTTTTTTCTTTTCTTATTTAAAAA